ACTACAAACTGAACAAATTTGATAGTGGGAATAAAAACAAATTAAAACAATATTGCCAAGACGTCTCAACTTTCTTTTTAAAATAGATTTGATGATGGTTTTCAACTTTTCACATTCAATGTATCAGTATTTCGAGTAACAAAATGAAAAATCAACGTCAGCTGTGTATATTTTAAACATTTACCTAAATGACTTGGACTTACTCAACCTAACAGTCAAGATGAATGTATTCAACTGCTCATTGTGTTTTTATGAATTAAAACTTCGTGTTTTATAATTACATGATAGACAGTACACAGTTCTGGTTCGTGATGCTTAATCAGAAAATGGAATTTGAACAATGGCCTAATTAGAACAGTTAAATAGTATGGGTTTAATTACCCCTTATTCCTGATGACAGATTTGATCAGTTGCCAGATATTTATCCTTGCCTTTCACTTCACTGGTACTGAAATACTGCCTCTGGTAGGACGTATGCTGGGCTATAAATAGGCAGCTTGGCAAAAAGCCATGAAACCCACTGACCATTCAGACTGGAGTGTAGATTGTTGGAAAACCATTCCTTGTGTCTTGTCATTACTTCTTTATTTCACTGTTGAAGGTTCTTTTTACAGATTCCTTAATTTAATCTTTTTTTTTTTCCCTTTTGGTTGGATGAAGTGACTTACCTAAAAAGGCTTTGGAAACCTGTGCAATATCTAGTTCAGATGCATAATGCAGTTTATTGGCATGTCATGGTTTCCTTTATAAACGTCTGGTTTCCACCTTAGAACGTAGCTCTTAAATTCAGCTCCAACTTAATCTTTTCTGGATGCTAACAGAGCATGGCTTTTGTGTGCTTGTGCTTATTTAAAATGAAAGTACTGTGTGTTTGATTTCAAAACTTTGTGAAATGCAGAAAAACAAGAACAAAGCAAGGGAAGACCACCCAGAGTCCTACCTAGATGTAAGCACTGCCAACATTATGAGTTTCTTCTCACTCTTTTGTCTACACGTGTGTAACTTTATCTATATGACAAACGATATAGGCTTATATTCTATCTGATGATTGTGTTTGCTCCGAAAATCTTATTTAAAAAGAAGTTTAGAAAAACATACACGTTTAGATAACAACAAAACTAACATCCATTATAGCACTATCTGTCTTCATCAAAGTTAATGTTTTATCATATTTGGTTCCAGTAATTTTTTTAAGAGAAGGAAACAGACATTCAGTTGATGCTCTTTTGTGTTTCTCCCCAGTAACACTCACTCCTAGTTCCCTCTCCTCTGTCCTCAGAGGCAAGTTTATGAAACTCCTTCTAGTCCATTGGCTTGTATTTTATTACATTTTTGTATATCCACATAACTATTGGAATCAACTTGTTGGCAATGAGTACATACATTATCTATAGATGGAGACAGAGAAAATTCTATGTGTGTTTTTATTTTAATGTAATTAAATATAATAATCACCTTTAGTAGTATATTCAGAGTGGTGGTGGTTATGTGCCGTCGGAGTCGGTTTGGATTCATAGTGACCCAGTAAAAGGTTTCCAAGGCTGTAAATCTTTATGGGAGCAGAAAGCCTCATCTTTCTCCTGAGGAATGGTTTTGAACTGCTGACCTTGAGGTTAGCAGCCTGGCTTATATCCACTATGCTACCAGAGTTCATTATATTCAAGGTTGTTGTTGTTGTGGTTATGTGCTGTGAAGTTGGTTCCGACTCATAGTGACCCTGTACAGGGTTTCTGAGTCTGTAAATCTTTACAGAAGCAGAAAGCCTCATCTTCATCCCACGGAACAGCTGGTAGTTTCGAACTGCTGACCGTGAGATTAGCAGCCAGATTTGTAACCCCTACTCTACCAGAGCTCCATAAACTTATATTTTTATAACTCCATAAACTACATAATTACTTACTTATAATTTTGTGGCTTCAGTGTTTAAAATGTTAAGTTTATAATATATCTGGAATTTATTTTGTTGTATTTTGTGAAGAAGTTATCAACTGTATTTTTTTGTTTTTTAATTGTCACATTGATTTGTGGTCCCTTCAGAGTACGATAAGCACTGGACTATGAAACATAAGGTCTATGTTTCGAGCCCATCAGCCACTCCATGGAAGAAAGATGAGGCTTTCTGTTCCTGCAAAGATTTTTAAAAGCTTGGGAAACCCTGTACTTGGTCTCTATGAGTGAGAACAGACTCTCTAAGGCTTTTAACAACAACAACATCCATACCTTTATATTTGGGTCTGTTTCAGGACTCTTGATTTATTTATTTTTGATTCAATAGGATCTGACTTCTTATTTGTACCCCAATTCTATGCTCTTTTAATTGAAGTAATTTCCTTTCCTTAATATTTTTGCTGTTAGTTCTTCTGGAGGTTTACCCTAACAGATGAACTTCAGAATAATTTTGTTAGATTCACTAAAACAATTCTTTTTGGATTTTGACTGAAGTTGCTGTGAATTTATAGAGTAATTTGGAGAAGATTAGTATTTTACAGTTTGGGAATTACCCATTTAAGATTTTGGGTATGTTCTTCCATTTATTCAATTCTAGTTTTAGGTCTTTTAGTAAAACATTTTAAAGTAGTATACATTATTTCTTATTATTTATGATTATATATATTCATATTCATGTCTATGTCCTTATCTTTGAACTTGAGGAATTATAAAATTTCAGATGTAGAACCGAGCTTTAGCGGCCACCTGGGCAAACCTCCTTTAGGTTGAAAGAACTCATGTTTCACTAGTTTCAATATAAACCTGTAAAAAAAAAAAAACTGTGTGTGTGTGTGTGTGTGTATATATATATAATATAACAGGTTTGTATAATATGTATGTGTTGTTATGGGCCGTTGAGTATGTTCCAACTCGTTGCTATTATTACATGTCGTTGAGTCGGTTCCAACTCATGTAGATGCTGTATAGGGCTTCCAAGGAGTGACTGGTGGATTTGAACTGCTGACCTTGTGGTCATCAGTCCAGTGCCTATCCTACAGCAACACACCAGACTATCTATCTATCTATCTATCTATCTACCTATCTATCATCTATCTATCTATCTATAAAGGTTTATATTGATAAATAGATATAGATATATTCTTACCCATTGTCATGATGTATTATATGTTAAACAGTGACCACATTGTTGTTGTTGTTAAGTGCCATTGAGTTGGTACCGACTCATAGCGACCCTATGCACAACG